TTGGCTGAACATCAAGCAACCTGGGCTGAATCTAGTGAGAGCCTGAGAATGGAACTTACGCCACACATCATTTTGCCAAGCACCATTATGAGAAGTTTAAGAATGGTATTTCCTTGCAAACATTGTTACTATTGTGGGAAAATGTCCACTACATGGAACAACCTGGAACCTTGACATAATATTTAACAATATAATTATTAGGCTCTCTTGCACAATGTGGTTCTTTCTTACAGCTAATATGTAAGTCTTTGTTTTAATTATAAAGCACAAAATGAGGGGAAATGGGAGCTGCTCTGCAAACATGTCTAAAAAGTTGTAATATAATGGAACCCGCATGCAAGGTGGTGGGAGTATGCATTCTCATGACTTGTGAATGTGAGTGTCAAAGCAGAGCATGTATTTCCAAATTAACCATCATGTGTGGTACTTTCATATCACCTGATGTTAAGTTGAGCAGAGCACTTTTCAGCAGAAGTCAGCCACATGGTTAGCTGACAGCTGCATACTGGATGCATGCAGGATCATCACTTAATTTTTTAAAAAAAATGATTATGGTACAGTTTCTGACAAGTAACTAACTGTGCAGTCCTACATACTTTTCTGGAAGTATGCCCCACTGAGTCCATTGGGACTGACTTCTGACGAGACCTACAGATGCCTCAAGTAATTCCACTGAAAAATCATTTTGTTTTGGCAGTCAGATTCTCTTGCATCGCACAGCTATCCTAAAGTATCCTCTCTGCAATGGATCATTCACAGACACACATCCTCACTTGGTAATTTGCTCTTGAAGTGATTTGCATACATGGATGAACTACCCTCTGATGCTCAGCAGCTTGATGTAGTTAATCAAGTTCTGCATAATAGTGTATATATTTATTCTGCATATAATGGAGAGAAAATCTTTTCTCAGTGTTCGCACTCGGAGATTATTTATGCACAAATAAAATGGTGTGTTTTATTCATCATCCACTTTATTATTGTTCCAAGAAAGAATGGGGCCAAACTGATCCACAGGAACAAAACCAAGTCCAAAATATACAGATGGCCGGCATCTTTATTTGCATCAACATTAAATGCTTAAAATTATGCACACTTCTAAGGTTTTTTTTATAGCTCTTTATCAGGCTAAATGGTAAAAAAGTGAAAGGAGGAAGAGAAAAAAACATTAGACCCAAGCTGGAAGGTAGGGCTTGATGAATAAGATAATTTCTTATTGTTGTCATTGTTGTTGCTGCTGCTCTTTTTCTTCTCCTTTCTCTTCCTGCATTATTTTATCATTCTATTTTTCTTCCATTATTCTATTATTCTGTGATGATGATTCTAACTTCAGTATTCTATTTCTTCTTCTTCTTCTTCTTCTTCTTCTTCTTCTTCCTCTTCTTCTTCTTCTTCTTCTTCTTCTTCTTCTTCTTCCTCTTCTTCTTCTTCTTCTTCCTCTTCTTCTTCTTCTTCTTCCTCTTCTTCTTCTTCCTCTTCTTCTTTCTTCTTCTTCTTCTTCTTCTTCTTCTTCTTCTTCTTCTTCTTCTTCTTCTTCTTCTTCGTGTGGGACATTTGAAGCCAGATAAGTTTCCCTCTAACCAGTCCAATGTTCCTTCTAACAGTAGCCCCCAGCTTACCTGGATTCAGTTTTCAATTTATTTGCTCTTGTCCAGTTTATTATCAATGCTAGGCAGTGATCAAAGATCTGTGCAGTATCCCATAGATGAAGAAAGGAGAGAGAGAGCTGTGTGTCATCAATTTACTGGTGATAGCAAATCCCAAATCTCCATATGACTTCTTCCAGCAGCTTCATGTACTGCAGATGTTTAAAAAGCATTGGAGAAATTGTTGACCCCAAGAGACCCCTTTGCAAGGAAGAACCAGAGCCAGCAGAGAACAAAGCCCCCAATCCTTACTCTTGGTAGCCTTGCAAGATGGATACAATGATCGATGGTATCAAAGGCCACAGAAATATCCAGGAGAACCAACAGGATTACATTCCCCCTGTTCTGCCTGTCTTACGATATCCTCTTGTAGGGTGATCAATGCTGTTTTAGTCCAAACTCGAACTGAAATGGATCCAGACTATCAGTTTCTTTCAAGAATGCCTAAAACTGGTCAGCCACCACCCACTTGATTAACTTCCCAAAACCATAATATTTGAGACAGGTCTGTAGTTGTTCAGATCATCCATTGTCAAATTAGTTTTCTTAAGAATGGGCCTTATTATAGTTTCTTTTAAACAGGAGGACACGTGGCTTTCTGGGCAAGAAGCATTGATGGTATGGGTGGCCCATTCTACCATTGTATTCTTGGCAGATTTTAATAGCCAAGACAGACTAGGGTCTAAAACTTAGGTAGTAGCTTAACAGCATGCAAGTGCCTTGTCTACATCCTCAAGCCTTACTAACTAAAACTGATCCAATAAATCCTGACTAGACAGTGCATTGGACATCTCAAACTGATCTACTGGGATAAATGAGGAGCCAAGGTCATAATGGATGCCTTCAGCTTTGGCTCTAAAATGGGCTTCCAGTCATTTGCAGTTCTCTATACTTAGTTGTAATGTCTGCATCTATCTGGCATTTGTAAGGCTGTGGACAACTTGAAAGATTCCACCTCTTGGTTGGAGGTCACGTTAATCATTTTGGTGTGGTAGCCTCTTTTTGCCACCTTTACAATATTTTCCAGACATCTCTCTGACTGCAGCCCAGTTGCGTTCTGAGGGAACTTTCCTCCATCTGCTCTCTAGCTGTCTTCTTAATTGCTTTGTCATCTTTAGCTCTTCTGTAAACCATGATGAGGGTTGAGTTGTGCAACGAAGAGGGTGTTTAGGAGCAATCATATCTATTAAATTCTTTCAGTGTTTTCTTTGTATCATTGAATTGTTTCTTTTGTCCAGCACACAAACACACACCTGCAACCAGCTCTCCATAGAAAATATGTTTTGGGAGACCGAGACATATACAATTTCCCTTACGCTTGCCTAAATTGGCAATTGAAACCTGATCCTGGTCCAAAAAAAAAATTGAATATTTTCAAGGACTGGGTGATATGCTCTAAGTGTGCAGAAAGCAAGGAAATATGAATAGAAGACATTCATCATAGAATCAAAGACTGTGAGATCTTGCAAAGTAGGCAGTACAGTACTGTCAACTGTGAAATGCTGACGGGAATTGGCCACTGCTATTGGCACACAGTGGCCAAAATCCTTCGCTTACTTTCCAGTCTGTTCCTGTGTGTTTAGTCATTTAGTCATGTCCGACTCTTCGTGACCCCATGGACCAGAGCACGCCAGGCCCTCCTGTCTTCTACTGCCTCCCGGAGTTGTGTAAGGCAGCAATCCATGAAGGAGCAGTCTGTTCCTAGCCAGCAAATAAGGAGTCCTTGCTGCTATTCTTGAGTGGACATGTACTCGCTCGCTTGGTGTGTGCGCTCCCTACTGAAAAGTATGATGGGGATTTTTTTTAATTTGCTGGTTAAGAATGCATCGAAAGTTACACATTTACTTATGCCAAGCAAAAGGGTTTGAGCCAGTGCATAAGCTGCTTTTTGTATTTACTGGAACCGACTATACAAAACGCAGCAGATGCAGCCAGCTGCAGTGCAGTGATGTGCTGTGCAACACATCAAAGAACTTGCCACAGATGTGGAAGGCGCTTGAAAACAGTTGCTCTGTTTTCTCCAGAGATAAAACCCTCTCTTCTTTATTTTTCTGCTGCCCTTAGCAACCTTCTGATTTCAGCCCTCGTTCCTCCCTGCACACACACACACACACACACACACACTCCATGGATCGCTCCCGGTCATTTAAAGTCCCCCGAGAGGGCTGTACTTGTTCTCTTTCAAGTTCAGCCACAGGCTTTCAAGCAGGATGTTGCACTTTCCAGAGGGAAAGCAAAGCCCTCTGGCTTCACATCGATCCCTGCTCTTGATGGGGGCTTTTGAAGATCTCTGTCCTTTGAGGCAGACATGCTGATGCTGCCTCTCAGGGGGCGAGCGGGGCGGGGAGGGGAGGTTGCTTCATGATCCATCACTGAGCGCTACACATTTCAGGGTCAGAGGCATTAGGGCAACCGGTCATGCCTGCCGGCAGGGTCCAATCCTCCTGAGAATGCAAGGGAAAACACTTTTCCTGCTTCTTTTTGTTCCTTATCAGAGGCTGCATGGGACACAGTGGCACAGAAGACGCAAGGTGGGGAAAGTGACTTTTGCAGACAATGATACCCAGAATCCTCAGCCATTCTGCCATTGATAGCTGGGGAATTCTGGCAGACACAATCTAGGAAGGTAACTTTCCCCTACAGGTCTTGGAGAGGTTTCCTCTGAAGCTCCTTCAAGTGAAAGAATACCTGTCAAAGAGGATACTTTTGCAAAGTCAAAGAAAATAGATATGATATATCAAGGTAGGACTGAGATTCATTTTGTACTTTCAGAATCCAGCATAGCTAAGGTTGCCAGATTTTGACCAGTTCTGGCTTCTGTGCCTTTAACAACAACCTCTTCTGCAGGCAAGTGATCATTTCTTCTATTAGCAAGTAGAGGATCAAATCACTGAATAAGACATGTTAGTATTTCCTCTATCTGCAATGTTATATTTCCAGCCATGCAAATATTTTGTCACTTTCAGCCTGGCAAAACTTGCTGCCTCCCAGCTGACCAATCACAAAAAAAAGGAAACCAAGTTGTTCAGTACAGATTGCAACAAGCTTGTGCTACAATAAACATACCATATTTTCCTTTTAAGCGTGCACTGCTTCTAGATATGGAGTCAGTGTCTCATCTACAGAGACTCTCAGTGGATAAGTGCCACTGTGACTGTTGCAGCCAACGTGGACACATATGTGGGAGGTAAGGGTTTTGACAAGTGTAGCTAATTATGCAAGGAGCCCTATACTCTTTTTCAAACTACTACCCTACAATTGGGGATGCATGGAAGAATCCTGAGGTTCACAGAAATATAATAAATAAATAAATAATAATAATAATCAAATATGTTTTTCTTTAAAAATACTTACTGTATAATGCTGGGATAAACCATGATGAAGAGAAGCAAATCTTGTTTGCCAGTAGGTTGGTCCCAAAGAGGTCTGAGGAAATAGAAAAATATATAGGAAACGCATCCAGTGCTAACCCTACTACTAGCCCTCAGTAGAGTGGAAATCCAGTGAAGTTCAAAATGCTTCCCAATTCAGTGAATGGAAGTCCTTTGTTATGTTCTAAATCCTGGTGCATGAGGATTAAATAAGATTTGAACAAAGCAGCTCTCCAAGTAGAAGATATCTTCAAACATAAACCTATCCTTTGTAAGGGATAAAGCTAAAGAAAGTTACTTTGTTAGGCTATCTGTCTATCTGTCTATCTGTCTATCTATCTATCTATCTATCTATCTATCTATCTATCTATCTATCTATCTATCTATCTATCTATCTATCTATCTATCTATCTATCTATCTATCTATCTATCTGTGGCCTTTCTCCCCATAGGGGACCTAAGGCAGCTCACAACAGACTTAAAAACATTATATAAATCCAATATTTAAAAAACAGTTATATATTAAGATTTTAAAAATCAAGTTATAAAACAATTCTAAAACATATTAAGAATCTCTCAGCCAGCATTTTTACTTAAATTTAGCTATCTGCAGTGTAAATCACACTTTGTAATGCGGTTACTTCTGTCATATGTAGAAACAAAATGTGGGTTGGTGCCCATGATGGAAACAGATAGTTAGGTGCATGATTGTTATTAGGACTCAAAGGAAGAAAGTCTGCCCATCAAGACCAGTGTGTTGACTGTCACTTTCTTGACCTATTTTCATACTCTAAATTACTTTTCATGTTTCTGCATGCATTTCCTTCCCTTCTGCTACTGAGCAAAATACCCATTTCCCATTCTTTCATTGGACTCAGTTCAAACAAACAATTGAAATAATGTGTTAAATGACAAAGGAGGTATATTTAAGCAGGGCCAGGCATGTTCTACATTCTTCCCCAAGTAAATTTTAAGAATTGCACACATGAAATACTCATTTTCAGTTCAACGATATGGGTTAGATCAATTCATATTAATATTATGTTCATTTCCATCTTGTATTAGTCCTGTGAATAGTTGATAATTCACAGCATTCAGAACATTTTGAAAAGTAATGTATTCGTGAAGGCTTTCATGGCCGGGATCTAATGGTTGTTGTGGGTTTTTCGGGCTCTTTGGCCGTGTTCTGAAGGTTGTTCTTCCTAATGTTTCGCCAGTCTCTGTGGCCAGCATCTTCAGAGGACAGGAGTAGCATTTTGCAAAGTACTCTGACAGATGAGGCAGGGGGTCAGGAAGATCCTGAAGACCCCAAATCCTTAATTGCCAAAAGCCAGGATATTTTTTTTTTGTTTCTAAGCACATCAGATAAATTGACAAGAGGAAAGCTTCCAATATAGGCACAATGCAAGAATGAACTATAGAGCTCAGCCATTATGTCTTTGCGTTGTTTTTGTTTTACTGGACATGGGAAAGATTTTTTCCTTGGCCCTCAGCTTTCAGAACCACACTGCTGTCCTGGCTTCCTTGTATGTCACCCAAAAACCATTGTTCTCGGTGAGTTTTAAAATAATTATGACCAGCCAGGAAGCGAAACCCTCTGTGTTCACTTTGTAATCCTTTGGAACAAGTAGATGTATCTTCTCTGGCTCTTTCTCTTTATTTCTTTTGGTATCACCTTAGAAGGTAGGCCCCCACTTTAACTTTCATGACTTCATCCTACAGAATCCTGCATTTTTTTTAGTTTGGTAAGATACTTCTGTTCCAGAAAACGCCAGTGTTAAAGAAGTACTGATACTGGTAGAGATGTGAAGGGGAAAAACTTTTGCATGGCTTTCATTTTGAGGGGACTCTTTTGGGGGGGGGTTGTTTCAGGTACAGATCCCTTTGGGGAACCTGAAAATGCCCTAATCTTTCAGGTTCTTCCATTTTGGATTTCCCATTCAGGTTTCTGCCACTAGTCCCAGTTAAGCCCTGCTGAATACACAAAACTAGTCCAAAAAGAGGTAAGACAAGAGACAGCCAACTAGTCAATAGTGGGCAACAACAGTGCATGAGAAGGAAAAATGAATTATCCACAGATCTATGCAGGCATTAATAGTACTTTAAAGTCCACGATAATCACATCGCCACCTTCATCATCCTCATCAATTCATCAGCAGGAAACATTGCAGATGAGATGGAGACTATGGGGAACTGGATAGACAAGTCTCTTTAGCTGCAGTCCACCAGCACAAGTATGCGAGTACTGGGTGAAGTTAATGCATTGTTCCAGGCAACAATAAAGGAAACAATACCTCCAAAAAAAGGCAGAAAAAGCAGATTAATTCAGAAATGTGTAAGTTCCATTAACCTCTCTTTCAGATTCATGAATTTCTCACAAAGTTAAGACTCTGAAAACTAGATTGCTAATCCAAAAGTACTATTCCTAGCTACTGGAGTGATTTCTAATGCTTGGAGCTACAAATTACAAGATTATAATGGAGCTAGGCCTCTTTTTTAAGGCATTGAGGGTCCAGGGCAGAAATGTTCACTTGAGGCCCCTCCCAGTCCCTCCTTCTGTCATGATTTTTTTCTGAACGCTGGGGGTGAGGTGTGGGGAAGGTAGGTGTGCATATAATACTTTTTTTAAGAAAAGGAGCTATATATAGGAATTGTGTTTTTGTACAATTAAAAGAAAACATTTATACAAAATGACAAACAGAATTTAGGATATTTTAAAAGTTACCTATTTTTCCCTGCTTTTCAATCAACAAATTCAGGTATGAAATTATCAAAATACTATATATTTTCCTCAGTAGTTCACAGTCTAGGGATAAAACAGACTGTGATGACCATCTTGACTATAGCAATGTGGGATGGAACATATTTTAAATAAAGGTTAACTTGGAGAATGCAGGTCACAATTTCCAACTGGTGAAATTAGTAAAAGGCTCAAACCCTTAATGTAAATCTTCAAACTACTCTGTGCGGTAGCCTCAGATCTCTCACATCCTTTGACAGAAGAGGTTCCCAAAATATTTGACACAATAAACTCCTTTAGAATTTTTTTAGAAACCTCTGCATCCCCGTCCTCTCCTTGGCCATCAATTCCAATGCCTAAAATTTAAAATTTACAAGTTAAAATGACAAATAAAAACCTAAACAGGCTTTAAATCATATTACATTAAAACCAGGTTGCCTGGATTATAGTTTATAACAGTTTCTAAGATGAAATGCAGGAACAGTTTTTCGGACAAAACTGGAGCAACGTCCTAATTGGAATTAGCAAATTAGAAGGTTGATTTAGTTCTGTCTGGAAAATCGATATTGTAAAAAGCATGGACTGAGGTGATTAGAATTAAAAGGGATGTTCTGCTATGAAATCTAGCAGTTGCTTGGTCTCTCCACAGGTCCTTAGTAGAGGCACTAATAGAGTGTGGCTTTACAAAAGGAGTCAGATGGTGACAGCTATTGATTTTGGGGGGTGAGGCAATTAGAACTTTCTTCCTTCTCCTGTTACATCACTATACCATCTGCATCCCCCTCTCCATAACCATATATGGCAATGTTGACTGGGGAAATCTATGATTTATAGTCTACAGCACTGGCCAGGTTGACTAGGGGTATTCTGAAACTTAGAGTCCAAAAAAGTAACTCATGTGGATCCTGTTGTTAATACATTTCTTGGAGATGCCAACCAACTGTCCAGGTTTTTATCTGGCAATGAGCAACAGTAGTACATGTTAGGCATCCAAGGATTGGTTGCTCTCTCTCTCTCTCTCTCTCACACACACACACACACACACACACAGAGAGAGAGAGAGAGAGAGAGAGAGAGAGAGAGAGAGAGAGAGAGAGAGAGAGAGAGAGAGCCTGTATAGCCTCTATCCAAAGGGGGCCACATTTATCTCATCAAAGACTGGGCAAGAGCAACCAAGCCTGACTCTGATCAGTGCCCAAGCTGGACCATTTTTGTCCAAAGAAAGGGCTTCTTTTCTTTGATGCCAGGCTGAAGCAATTTCTGGACAGGCAGAAGGGTCGCTGTAAGGGAGATTGCTCCAGGCAAAGCAACCCTTTAAAATGAAATCAGACAAAATCCTTTCTTGTTGCGTCCTTAGTAATGTGGCTTTGTCCCAAGCTATTATACAGTCTGGTTCTTAGGTTTGGCCACTCACAAAGCTCAGCTTCCTGAACTCCTTGTTAAGGCAGGAAGGAACTACAAGAAATGTCAGATAAAGCTGAAGATATAATAAATACACCTTGGCACTGAATTTCTAATGACCACATTCCATTTTCTAACACTGGGCCTTCAGCTTTGCAGTGCCTCTCTTCCACGTCCTGTCCCCCATTTGTGCTCAATGAGAATTCCTGACTCTGAGATGTTAGTAATAGGAGGGAAATCTGCAAACCCTTTCAGAAGTGTACATGGATGAATGATTATGTTTTGCAATTGTCTCTTAGCAGTTGCTCACCATAAACAGTCTCTCTCATAAGAACTTGTACTTCTATGGCAGACTCTAAGAAATTACTTTCCCAGCCTTCACACCCCACCTCGCCGAACAAAAACTGGGGAGTGTACTTTTCCCAGGTTCTAGCACTTATCCTGCTCACATACAGCAGGCTTTCCTGTGCCAATAAAATGAGAATCTCCTGTGAATACTTATTAAAGACTATTAAAAGCACTGGGCCTTATTTCAAATAAATACACCTGGGGATCAAGCTGTAATTGTGACTGGAAAGATATGAGAGGAGGATAACCACAGCAGTGGCTCCAACTGCTTATCGGGGGAGGGGGGGAGAGATTCACCTGGCTGGAAAGCTATCTGGGGCTGGGAAGCAAATGCTCCTTGAAAGCCATGAAGAATTACAGGTTGTAACACTACCAATAGAAAGAACGTTGGGCAGGTAGTCTATCATTTCCTTTGTCGTACATCCCCTCTCTAAAAGACAAGCCCACAGTGGTAGCAGGCCCTGTAGGAGGAACAGAAGATAATGCCTTCAGTTCTGGGTAGCAGATAGAAGGAGCCGGTAGGGCCTGCCTTGCATACTTACTGTGCAGGGCAATGCTAGGCTTTAGCATTCAAGTGTTCCTATACAGTCAGAAGATGCTTTTGTGTTCTGGAAGCTCACCTAGTGCTTAAACGTCCTGTGTCCCCAAACAAGCAGAAACAGAAAGCCCATCAGAATTTGGAGGATTCTGGTGAGAGTGGTGAATGACTTGGAGGAGGATGACAGGTATGTGTTGCACCCTGACTCCTCACTGCTCAGAAAACTAGGATACATGATGTGTGAAGGACCAATGACTCCTTTTATGGACCTACCATATGTTAAGATCACTGTCGGAGGCCTAATGTTCTGGTCCACCATTACAATCTGGAAAGCTGGTAGGCATTAGAGATGTACGACCTTCTCAGGAGTGGCCTCTGCCCCAGAAATAGAAACATTTATTCTTTTCGGCTTCCAGCATCCCATGTCCATCTCTGTTCTGCCCAATGGAATTACTCCTTTAATACATATAAAGCTGGCTGCAACTACTATTATTTTTAAGCTGGTTTTAAAACTGTATCTATTTTCTTTGACATTGACTGTCTTTGGCTTTCTGTGGCCTTTCATTATGCATGCTGATTTTCTTGGCAGTTTTAAGTATTGAATTTGGCATTTATTAACTGCTTCAAACTTAAAATTGTCAAAAAGATTTATGATTTAATAGACATGCTATATTGTTATAGTATGTATTAAATTGTATGTTGTTTTGAAAAGCTTAAAAGGAGCTAAGAAAAGCATTGGAAAAATGGAAAATGCAGTACAGTATTTCAAATGTAGATGCTTGCTTTTCAGCTGTACAATGAGAAATACTTCATTGTACTACTTTATTAGTATGATGATGATGATGACAATAAGGTGGGGGGCACATGACTTGGACAGTGCTGTACAGAACAGTTGTAACTCTATCATGGGCCACCAGCTGGAAAGATTCAACCACAGGGAATCAATGCATCTATTGAGAAAAGTGCTGCAGATCCTGAATATATTATTGTGAAATTAGAGTAAAACCAAAAGCAGTGGTGATTCATATTACAGAAAGCTGTTTGATATGCTTCCACAGCAAGGATCAAGATGACTAGGCTAGAAGAATAGAGTGAGTCATTAATGATCAATAATGCTCATCCAGTCTTACCATGCTTCTTCTGGCAGAACTGAAATATTCACAGTAATAAAGTAAGTAACCCTGTATACCTTGTTTGGAGGCAGATGCTTCAACATGCCTATAAAAACACACGCTGACATGCAGAATTGGTGTGGAAGTTGAGATCATCATCCTATGCAGCTAGTGTCCATGTTGGTGTTTCTTCTTCATCACTGTTACATATCTAGGAGGGGTTGGCTCTTCCTACTGGGAGTGGGTGGATCTTCTTTATTAGTATTTCCCTTGTTGAGAGAGAGAGAACTATCTAGGAAGGGTTGGCTCTTCCTACTGTATTTAGTATTTCCCTTGTTGAGAGAGAGAGAAAGAGAGAGAGAGAGAGATTATTTACCTGTTGCTTCAGGATGAACCTCCTAAAATGGCCATGGCTGTCCAGCTACTTGGAGGTTCTGAGCCTTATTGCCAATTAGTCTTCCTTTCAGCTCTGCTCTTTGGATTTGTGTTGTGTTCTATTATTTGTCAAAATGCTCAAACATGGAGCTTACTAAAAGTCTTGGGGAAATTCTAAGAACGTACATGGTAGATTTGCAACTGCATGGTCTTTCACGTGTAGAACGATTAGTAAGAAAATCACCAAATGTCAGCAGCAGAATGTCAAGCTACAGCAAGGAGTTTATGAAGCAACAATTATAGACTGAATTTCAATTACAATGAAATCAATCTGACATGATATGTTTCCTGATTTGTTTGTTTTTTAAGTAGAGTTTTGGAGTTCTAGAGCACATGCAGAGCTCATTTCAGAGATACTGTAATGGTTGGAGAGGGAGTATCATGGTTTAACAATTTATTATGATGAGCCATGAGATTTCACAGTGTGGTGTAGTGGACAGAGTGTCAGACTAGGACTCTGGAGAACAGGGTTCAAATCCCCACTTGGCCATGGAAATTCATTGGGAGAATGGAACTGGTAAAGCCACTCCTTATATACTTCACTTACCTTGAAAGCTCTATTAGTAGCTATCATATAAGTCAGTTCCAACTTGATGGCACTGAACACACAAAGGATGATCCATGAGGACTGAGCAAATTCTTATATTTATGATAAATGTTGAGGATCAAAAGCTAGCTTATGTTTGTGGCTTTTAAGTGGTCTAAATAAAGGTACCACCCACATTGCTTGCTCTTTACATATACTGTTATCTTGTACAGTGATAGGATAGCGTCTGTTCCTAATGCCAGTTGTCTAAAACAGTGAATCAAAAAATTGTTTGGCAGCTGAACTCACATTTCTGATGACCCTCAATTTGCATCTCAAAAAACTGACTAGTTAAAGCCACAGAGAGAGTGTATGTGCTTCAGGGTGGGATAAGTATTCAAGCTGGCAGGATAGATATCTGGCTAGGGAGCCGGATGTTGGGAGTTTGATTCTGCACTCCTCCTCCTGCAAGTAGAGCCGGCTAGTGTGGTCTTGAGTAAACTGAACAGTTGCAGGGCACCCCAAGAAGGGAATGGTAAACCACTTCTAAGTATTCTCGCCATAGGTCTGAACTGACTTGACAACATATGATTATTACATGTATTCATAAGCAAGCCACAGGATATGCACTTAACACATATTCAAGCTGCTCTGCAGGTTGCTGATTGCTTGGGGGGAAACTCTTGAGCTACATCAGCATATACATATAAAGTACAATCCCGTGAACCCTCTGTAGCAACGATCCATTCCAATATTCTGTATTTGTAGCTTGATTCATGATGATGCTTTTGGTGTGGCAAGTTAAATGGCCTGACCACATGGGAGTGGCTACTCTGGACCTCTGATCTTTCTCTAGAGGTGTGCCCAAATCAGAGCTCGAGAGGCTATAAATACTTTACAAACATATGGCTTTGAGCAGGAATTTCTTTTAAGTAGTTAACACATTCTGAAAGTTATTAATTTTTGATGATTGAGCAGGTTATATTATCCCAACTGAACAGAAGCTGTAACATCTAAAACAGAGGTCACGTGAGTAAAATCCATGCACTGCTTTCATAGTCGAGGAAGGAGGGGGCATTTCCCTCCTATAAACTCACAATGAAGTAAAATACAAATATAACACATTGACGTCTTGCACACACATTGACATGTCTTGCACACACACACACACAAGGAATATGAATAGATCTCTGTCTCAGTATTGCTGCATTCCTCCAAATCCCATTTCCAGATTTTCTCCTCATTCTTGTTTTATATTTTTTTATATAATGTTTTTCATAGACAACACATTGGATAATGCATAAACTGTGTGTTAAAATGGTATTGGTGTTGCTTACCATTGTCAGTGTGGTATCTGTCTGATTCTTTTTAATATTTGTATGCGTACAGTTTTTAGCTTTTGAATATTGTCTTTTAACTATAGACGCCATTTTGGGTCCTTTTTAAAGGGAAAGGCAGAATAAAAATATTTTAAATAAATACTTAAATAAGCAATCAAAATTGATTAGCATTAATTTTATTTACTATCCCAAGCACACCCAAAAAAATCAGTTTAATAGATCAGACCCATAAGAAAAACTTATATCTCTGTGTAAGAACATTTGATCATGAAATTGTACTGCTTCCAGCCAGCTAAGGCTCCCTTTCCCACACAAATAGAGAATTACAACTCAGAAATGTCTTTGGTGCTTTCCAAGGAATGTGGAGAGGGAAGCAATTTTGCCTGCTGCTATCTTCAGGGCACCTGCTGTTTGTGTCATTTCTAACTAGCTTCATGCAAGGAGTGAGTGGGCGGTTCTTGTTCTTGCAATCATCCATGTTTCCCGACAGGAGAGAGAGACAAGTGCAAAGTCTGCTTTCAAAGCCTCAAGGAGGATAAACAAACCACCCTCTGCCTCTCCTTTCTCATAGACAAAAGGGTCTCCTGCTTTAGGCTGCTTGCCATACAATGTTAAGGAAAGGTCAGCCCAACATATGCTCCTATTGCCAACTCACTCAACTATATTTAATTGGCAAGGCAATAACTTCCCCCACTGTCCTCACACACACAATACACTGTTCCACACCTGTGCAACTACAGCATATACACCCAGTCTTCACACTATGATATCAAAACAGGGCTGTACCACTGTCATATAGTCTCCTTGGCTATGTCATGTACAGTAAATTAATGGACTGCAGGCCAGTATGAATTTCTACAAGTGGGAACTTGTGTCATCACCAGGACAGGATCCTTCAGTTCAGACTTTTCAATACCCAGGAGCAGTGCCTTTTGAAGCAAAAGCAGGTCAACAGCTCCCAAATCCTTGAGATTCCAAGCCCAAGAATAGAGCCCAGGGGTGGATTCTTGTTAAGTTACAGGGCAAACCTTTTCGATGCCACAAAAACAGGAGAGGTAAGGCTTGGCAAGGGGGAATATTGTCCCCGGTGATGTGCAACAAAAAAGCTAATGAGTTAGGATTCTGGTACTTCACTACCTGCTATGCACCAAGTGGTACGATAGGTCCCAAGATAACACAGCAAAAAGTCAGGAGCAAGGGAAAAAGTGGGAGTACATGCATTTCAGCCCAGTGTACCATTTGGAACTGGGCTGCATTAATAAAACTATAGTTTCCAAATCCCGCGAGGTGGTTCCCCTCTATTCAGCACTGGTTAGGCCTCGCCTTGAGTATTGTGTCCAGTTCTGGACACCACACTTCAAGAAAGTTGCTAACAAATTGGAACAAGTTCAGAGGAGGGCGACAAGGATTATCAAGGGGCTCGAAATCAAGCCCTGTGAGGAAAGACTGAAAGAATTGGGCATGTTTAGCCTTGAGAAAAGAAGATTGAAGGATGATATGATAACACTTTTCAAATATTTGTCATATGGAGGAGGGGGAGGATCTGTTCTCGATCATCCCAGAGTGCAAGACACACATCAATGGACTCAAGTTCCAGGAAGCCAGATTTCAAATGAATATCAGGAAACAACTTCCTAACTGTTAGAGCAGTGCAACAATGGAACTAATGACCTAGAGAGGTTGCAAGTGCTCCAACTCCTGATGCATTCAAGAGAAACTTAGACAACCACCTGGCAGATATCCTTTGATTTGTATTCCTGCATTGAGCAGCAGGGGGTTGGACTTGATGGCCTCATAAACCCCTTCCAACTTCACTATTCTATGACTTCTATAATAATCCAGTGACAAAGATCTTCATGATGAGCCAATGAAACCTGGTGCCAACTGAGAATGAGTAAAGATGTCTCCAGATGTTAAAGCCACCTTACACAGAGAAATTTAGCATTCCCCTCCAGCAAGAGTCTCAGCCTATGGTTTCTCTCTCCTCCTGGAGACTCAGTGAAACTTTAGCCAGCACTCAAAGAGCCAGCAGCTGTAGCAGCAAGCTCCCTCCTCTGGAACAGGGCAGGGGTGGTGGTGGAGGAATCCTTCCGTTTCCAAAGGATGGGGTCACCACAGCACTATTCTTAACAAGAACTTAAGCTATTACAGAACTGACAGAGCCTGGAAAGATTAGTTCAGAGTTTTCTTGGGGATTCTGAGAGTTATAATCCAGAAAAGTAACTCTTCTGAGCTCTAACTCCAAAGAACTCCCTAAGCCTGATATATAAGAAGAATGTTCCAGCTAACACACAAAAAGAGGAGGAAGTATTTGAGGCTGCAGCAGAAGAAGATCCTGATTTTCATGGGCCCCTAAGGAACTGTTATCAGGAGCTGAGGTAGGGATGTGCAAAACTGACCCAGATTCTTCAGTAAGAACTCTTGCATATTATTCTTATTCCACCTAACTGTTTAGTTCTTCTCAAGGCTTGGAAAAGTTTCTTCTTAACTACAACTCTCAAAGTCTCCCAGCCAGCATGGGCACCATCTGGCATTGTGAATCAAAGAGAGAGAGGCAAGGGGCTGGTGCAGTCAATGGTACTGCAGTTGTAAACTTTACTGCAGAGATCATTTTTAGTACAGTAATAGTGAATCTTGCTAGAAATTATGACATACACACACAAGCATCCACACATGTACAGATCTTCCACTTTTACAAAGGAAAGCAGACTCTGCCTGGGTTGTTGTTGTTGTTGTTGTTGTTGTTGTTGTTGTTGTTGTTGTTGTTGTTGTTGTTATGCATTCAGTGCAATCAAATATCTGGTTACAAGTATGTAAGTAAAAGAGATCTCTATCCCTGTGTTCAGAGATTGGAGAAGGTACATTTAGTCTACAACTTCCAGAATCCTCTCACCAGTAAGCTTACTCTGATACCTTTAGACCTGGTGACTCTAATTTAGGGCCTCTGTAAGCAACCAATCTTGAAATG